TCCCTTAAAGGGTATAGCACCAAGCGCCACGAGTCGACTGCGACTCGGCCTTACCCTAGGTCTCTGCCATAGTAGGATGCTGGCCCAAACCCAGGCCAATAATCCCCCCAACACCTGTCCGCAAGTAGCACGCCCTCCAAGGGAATCGAACTTGAGACCTTGCTCTGATACTAATTGTTAGACCTTAGTTACCATCTCATCAAAACCCATAGGTAGTAGTGCAGGCGCAACTTTATTCCCTTAAAGGATACAGTGCCAAGTGCCACAAGTCGACTGTGCCTCAACCTTAACCCGAGCCTCCGCTACGGCAGGATGCTGGTCCAAACCCAGGCCAACAACCTCTTTAATCACTGCAACTAATAACCATTTTCCATTCTTTTCTTTTCTCTCCTGCTTAATCTTTCCTTTTCTCTCCTAATTTGCCAAAAAGACTAGTAAATCAATCAAAATGAACCTCTACACTATGCAACACACTGTACACAGACAAAACGAGAATCTTAGAGCGTGCACATCAAGCAAAAAACTAGCAACTGCTAAACCACACTTCAATTTGCTATTGCCAATACGATACATACATTTGTGATGTCTCTAACACTCTGTTTGGATCATAAGGGGAGGTGAGAAAAGAAACGATTGGGGTTTGTCACTTGGGTGAGAAAAGAAAAGAAACGATTATGATTTTTCACCATTATGTTTAGATGAATAAAAGATAATAGAATGAGGTTTGTCTCCTATGTTGTTTGGATAGGGTAAGTAAGAGAAAGGAAAAGAAAGTGTTTTATTTTATTTTATTAAAATAACCTTCCATATTAATAAGTTATGTTTTTTCATATGAGTACTTTTGGTATTTTAAACAAATTTCATTAAATTCAATTCTTTTCTCACAAATCTCACCACTTTTGGTGAGAAACAAAACACAAGTTTGGTGAGAGTCCATTTCTCACCTTACTCAACCATCCATATAAGTGAAGTCTCACCATTTCTTTTCTTTTCTCACTAAACCCCTCCATCGAAACAGAGTAAATGAATTCCAAAATTTTAGTTAGATATTCCATCTCTTAGTACGTACATACATACATACTAGGGGGAATTTCATTTCAATGCAGCTTTAAAAAAAAAGAAAAAAAGAAAAAATTGCTTATTCAAGACGAACTTTACAAGATTAAAAGAAAATTTTATAAAGTTTTCCATGCATCTGAAATTATTTTTTGAACTTTCCACTTAACTGCTATTTCCCTTACATAAAAACAGGAATGTGTTTAATGGAATCTATTAAACATTGTTGCATTGATTTAGCCCTGTTGAGCTTTTATAATTGCCATGTGTCTATCAAAATTGACTTGGAATTAATTAGGAAAAATTACAAATAAATATTTGACCCTTGTAACAAAATAAAGTCTAAATTTTTTACTTTGTCAATTTAGACCCTAAAATTTTGATTTATTTTCAATTTAAACCATGTACCTATTTCCATTAAGTAAAACCTATGGAAGAAATAGTATTTTAGTTATTAAATTCAACGAAAAATGGTATTTTGGATTGCTTATGTATACTTATATTGAGTTTAATAACTAAAATATTTTTTTTTCTGTTGGTTTTACTTAATGAAAATAGTCTGATAGTTTAGATTGAAAATAATTCAAAAATTTAAGGTTTAAATTGACAAAATTAAAAATTGATGTTTATTTTTTGACAAGGGTCAAAACCCTGGAATTCTTCTTTTGTAGTTTCCCCTAATTAATTAAGTTGTGTATATGTGAAAACAAACGAACACTTAACTTGTTTTGATATTTCGTTCAATTGTCAAGAATATTGTATAAGAAATATTTGATGAGAAAAATGAAATGAAAGGAATTTTTTTTTTTTTTTTTTTTGGTTAATCACACATTGGAAATATTTCCTTCAAAAAAAATAGTTATGGTGTGCTTCTTAAGCTCAATGTTCAACACAATTATAAATTACAACAAAATCAAATATCTAATTTTGAACCGAACTTGTTTGGTGAATATGTTTGAAACAACTATATGTAGCATGGACTAGATGAGTGTCAGCTAAACACAATGGAAGCCTATGCCATTAGAGTCTGGCCTAACTTGGTAACAACAAGACACATATTGTTTTTGCTCCAAAAACCCTAAAACATGTTTTCATAAAACAAAATATATAGTTCAATATTTCCCATTTGAATTCTGATTCAGGGAGCACATTTCAGCTTCAGATTCATAAAATGCATCGAGCATTTGCATCTGGAGAACAAGCACAATGAGTGGGAATCTTATTTTGGAACACAAGGATTGAATTCAAAACCTGTTGTGAATTGCTACAACAATGGACTTGGGTTTAAGGTGTTACCCAAAAGACAACCTAAGAGGGGGGTGAATTAGGTTTTTACAAATTAAAACTAATAATACCTCAATAAAATTAACTACTAGTACAACAAATTATTAATAAGCACAATGATAAACTTAGCAGTAAATGATCAAGCAAAATAACAATGAAGTATAACTAACGTGTAGGGTAAATCAAATGATTAGCACATGAATATTAGATAGATATAGCAGTAGTAGGAAAGTAAAGAGATTAGGGAAAAGAAGACAAACAGATTTATAGTGGTTTGGCTTCAACCAAGCCTACATCCACTCCTCAAGCTTCACTTGAGATTTTTCACTATCTTCTAGCTTCACAGGGTGCTAGCAACCTTTTCACAAATTGAGCAATCCTCCACGGATTTTACATAGACTTCACAAGTCTAAACCCTTGCAAATCTTAGGTGATTCACAATCACTCTCAAGATTTCAAGAACACAGTGTTTGCAATACTTTTACAAGATGAAATAGTATTTTTGCTTTCAAAGAAAGCTTACAATAAATATCTCTCAAAGATAGATATATAAAATGAAGTTTTGATTTTTCTGTAAATCTCACACAGGAAAGATGAGCTTAATGCTATAAGGCTCAGTGTATAATTTCTAAGAATAAATGTGAGTGATTATAGATCAAAGAATATTTTTAGGTTTTTGTAAGTTGTTTACATTAGAGGCTTTGGTATATATAATGAAAAGTATAGCCGTTTATAGCCGTTGTAGTCATTTGAATTTATAGCCGTTTATAACCATTGTAATCATTTGAATTTATAGCCGTTTATAGCCGTTGTACTTCCATCATCACCAATTTGAATATCTTTCACTCTATCATTACAAATTTGAATATCTTCCACTTGAATCTTTTGACCCTTTTGGCCTTTTGAACCTTTATAGCCGTTGTACTTCCATCATTACTAATTTGAATATCTTTCACTTGAACCTTTTGGACATTTTGGCCTACTGCTATGCTAGGTCGTTTGAACCTTTATTTTGGGCTGTTTGAACTCCTGATTTAATCAAATATTAAATACATTATAACAACATTTATGATAAAGGTTTAGGTGAGAAATAATGGGACAAAATAAATTTTGATTCTATTTTTCTCTTTCAAATAAATCATCAAAATAAATTTTGATTAAAATATAATTAAATAAATCATCAAAATAAATTTGGGATTCTATTTTTCTCTTTCAAATAAATTAAAACATAATTAAATAAATCATCAAAATAAATAAGTCTAACATAAGATTTGTCTTGTATGCCTTTGGAGTCACATTCTCTGTTTTCTAATTCTTCATTTAAGTTGACTTGGAGTTATAGTTATTCTCATGGAGTAACATATGAGAATTGCCTTTTAATGAAGGTTAAACAAGTCGTGTCAAACTGAATAGTAAAGTGCCGTTTGGTAACACTTACGTTTTCAGTTTTCTGTTTATATTTATAAAAAATTAAAAAACTCAAATAAAAACTTGTTTGGTAAAATTTTTGATTTATAAAACAGTGGTCTCAGTTTATAAATTTGGCTAAAAAATAAAAACACAAAAAATGTGTTTCCGTTTTGAGTTTTGAGTTTTTTTTTTTTTTTAATCACCCAACACCCTATTTTTGCTGACTAAAATTCAAGTAGTTGCCAAAAGTAAAATAAATACCGAAAAGAATATTTCTTAGTTGCCAAAACTTTGTACATTTAGGGACCAATTTTTTTTTAGCCACCCAAAACCCTATTTTTAAAGAATAAAACTCAGTTAGTGGCCAAAAATAAAATAAATACTGATTAAATTATTTTTAGTAGCTAAATATTGTACCTTTGCTGACCAAAATTTTTTTTTAGTAACTAAAGTGTGTACCTTGGAACTAAAAAATTAGGTTTTTGTTTTAGGTTGTGAAATTGTTTTTTTTTACTTCTTTGAATGTGAGTTGGGAAAAATATCTTGAATGTGAGTTGCTTGTGGTTAAATTAGGTCCTTTAATGGGTTGAAAACAATTTTTTTTTTTAATTTGTTAATAATCTAAAAAAATTAGTGCTCTGTTATGAAAATTAGGGTCCTTTAACTTAGAACTTCATCTCATCTTCAAAATCAATTTCACAAAATTCTATGGGAATCCACCCAACAAAATTATGATTTTTTTCCCCTTTTTTTCTAGCACTATACATATTTATATTTTTGGGAGACTTATTTGTATAGGTGGACGCCACCACCCACTCGCTACCACCACCCGCCACCAGCTACCCACCACCCACCATCACCATTTTTCACCACCGTCTTCCGCTGCTACTTGCCACCACTTGCCATTTCTTACTCTTTTTTATATTTTTAAACATTTTGTCAATTACCAAACGCGTTTGTAGTTTATGTTTTTCTAAATATAAACAAAAAATAAACAAAAACCAGTTTATAAAATTTTTATAAATATAAACGGAAAACGTAAACGTTACCAAACACACACTAAGTAGTTCGAGTTTGGTTTGAAATTTTAATGAATTTTGAAAATGTGTTCAAATTTGGTTTGTTCTGTCTTTTGAATCAATCTTAAACGAGCTTCAATCTCACTGATCACAAGTTCAAAATATGTGTAAGCTTAACTTGTTTACATAGAACCCATCTCAAACATGTTTTTAACGAGTCAAAGATGAGCGATGCTCAAGTACTTGAAGGTAACAAACGCACGTGCATACTTGGAGGTAATTTAGTACACAAGACTCCTGTTGCTGCAAGATTTAGGAAGAACCAAATGTGTACAGAGTCTTAGTCTTATATATGCATACTTAAATATAGTTAATATTGAATTTGTTTCAGTTTTTTATCATTTTATTTGCAAAAAGTCCATTGCTAAATTTGCAAATTGACTGTGCAGCTTGAACGAAGTTATGCTGATGAAACTACTCATCTTAATCCACCTCACAGATTTGTTCCTTGGGTGATTGTGGATAATCAACCACTGCAAGATGTTAGTCCCAAGTCCTCTCTTCTCTGTCTCTCTCTCTCTGTGTATATATATATATATATAACCTACTATACTATTCTGGCTGCAGGATTACCAAAATTTTGCAGCCTACGTCTGCAGAGCATACAAAGGCTCTCGCAGACCTAGTGCTTGCAAATCACTTTCTGTTGAGATCAACTCATCCAACAATGAAAATTCTGTTGCTCAAGTTAGCTATACAAGCGAGGCTAAAAACTTGACATCAATGGCACCAGCACAGAAAAAACCAAAATCACCAACAGCTTTATCGACAAAGCGGATGAAGATGAAGATGGAAATTTCTATGTAATTTGCAGCACCTGTGACTCAGTCCAGCATCAATCCATTAACATACATACATAATTGACAGGCTAATATAATAATGTGCTCAAATGGGTAAACCATGTTTCTAAAAAGTGCATGAATTAGGTGAAAATCCCAAATGAGGAAATCTAGGTTAAGGAACATATGTTGTTAGATTCTAAACTTTCTCAAGAAAATTCAAAATCCTTGCTAGCTTTGCAAGCATTTACAGTAGTTGGAAACAGACAACTACTTCTAAATCTACACAGCAACAATCTGTGAACAATTGATTTAGAAATGAGATTGAATGATTCAATATAGTGATCCACTTATCTGCTACGATTAAAATGTTTTCTACTTGTCTCAATTCAAGAACTGCAATATTTTCTTCCAAGTAATATCACAAGAAGAGATTAAATGGAGCAAACAGTCAAATAACTTGCGTCAAAACTAACAAACTTGGAATTAAGTCAACAAAAATTACAAATTGACAAGATTAAAGATTCACAATGCTAAAAAAGTTTTGAGTTTCAACATAACTATAAGCCAACGGATATAAATATACTCATAAATTGGATTACATATTGCCTTGGAAATGGAAGAACGTTCGAATTTTATCACAAGCTTATCATGTTCCAAATGTCGTTGTATGTATCAAAAGCAGTCGCTTCTGAAGGGTCAAATTCAAACTTCTCAACCGCCTTTCTGTCTCTTTTCACGATATCTGTTATTGGTCAGGTTTAAGGAAAACCCAATTCTACAAAATACTAAACTAGCCTCTACTAGAAATAAAATTGACATCACAGAAGGAAAAGAGTAAAAAGAACAAGTAGTGATCAACACAAAAGGATACGCCTCGATACTTTGTAATTTTCATGCTGGTTTGGAATTATATTTGTGACAGAAGCATACATTGAAAGCTTCATCCTACAAGACACAAGAAAATTGTTTGATCAGATGCATCCAAAAATGTAGATAAAGAAGGAAAGAATAGAAATCAAATCACAGTTGCAAAAGAAGGCTAAGAAAGAATGGTAACATATTATTTCCTCACAAGTCAAAGGGTTGACACTATTTAAATACTGATTTATGAGAATAAAGTACGAGTTAAATACATTTCGCGTGGTTCCAACCTTCTAAATCAAAAGTAGATGATAAGATCTTTTTAGTTGAATATATGAACCCAATTACACATAAAAATACAATATATATATATATATATGTATGTACGAAGTTATTGATGTTGAAAGGACCCTAGCCAACAAAAGGGCAAAATTTGAAACATTGAAGTAACCCTCCCCCACTATTTTACAACTCTAAGCATGAGTTCACAAGCAATTTTTTTCTTCTAATAAATGTGATGAATTCATGACTATACAAAACTTTAAATAAACATTGTAAGACATGACAACCATACAAGAATGGGCAACACAAAGAGAGAATCCTTAAATGATTGTAACAGGTTTTCTGGACTTACTGTGCCCTCATCTCATCTTGCTCAAGCTTTCTCGGAATCTCCCTTCTTTCTTCAACAGAAGCCCTTTGATTTTCTAGATCACTAATTTCATTGGTAACAACTGTGTTAACAGAATTTACAAACAAATCACCAATTACTACTATTGATTTGAAACCAAGAATAAAAAATATACAACTGAAATTGACAAAATACTTATCTAAGTTCCTCCTGGAGCAAACGTTCTCTTTGAAATTCCTCTTCCAACTCTTGTTGAAGCAAATCCATTTCTGCATCTGAAGCAGCTTCGAATCTTGCCTCATTTGTTTTTTTGTTGCACACATCTATCCTTTTCTGATAATCTAATGTATGTAATAACTTGTCAGTGATATAACATGCAGATCCATATTGACACTAAATAGTATGTTTGCAAAGAAAATTGAGAATAAGCCTTTCTGTATTTTTTCTAGCAGTTGCATTTAAAGAATGGAATTCATTTTAAACAAGATGCAATTGAAAAACAATGATGGACTAAAAGAACTACAATGACAAATATCCATGTCTCCTCAATGGGGGTGACGGCCTGTCATTTGGACTAGGGTTTGATAATTGTGAGTGGTTAGTAGATGGATAGTGTAACATCCCATTCCATAGGGAAAACTAATTACTAATAATTTTGTTGGGTACACATTGAAAATTGTAAGAAAAATGGGAATCTGTCTTTGGTTTAAATTATAATTTTTAAAATGTGAGGAAATGAAAAATATAATTACACAAATTGTTTGCTACTGTTTAGTGGATAATTTTGGAACTTTGGTTTGAGATTATTTCATTGGAATTCTGTGGAAGACTTTAGCTAAACAAAACAAGACAAAGAGAGTGATTAAATACACATAAAGTCCCATGAAATAAGATAAAGAGAGAGAGAGATGAAAAATTGAGGCTAAGTGTCATTTTGGTATGTGTATCATAAAGTTGAATGGTACACATTTGAAGCTAGTGATATAGGTTGGAACCCACAGAATTTGGCTTACATTATTAGGGTATTATGTTAATACACTTGCAGGAAGCATCGTGATCCGGCTATATGTCATGGACTTGAATGTCTAAAGGTTTTATTAACAAAGGTCCGAAAAGCAAAGTCCCCTTTACTTCAATGCAATTTGTCCTCGCATATCCACTTGTTGTTTTCTTTCACAAAGATGATATGGATGCTAAATAGAGAATTATACAACATTTACCATGTAATTTCCGAAACATTTAGAAGCCAAGCTAGAAAATAAATAAATAAATAAATAAATAAATCCTCAAAAATCTACTAGAAGAAACCGTAGAATAAGTCTCCTAACCAAATGACAAAGGCAGCAAGAAAAATAGAGATGTAGTCTATGATCCCACTTGCATCTTGCTGAAAATTAAGGCAATTGTTATATTAAATCTGAGAAGAAAATGCCTTACGACTTCAATCTGAACCATTTGCACTTGTCTAGTACATGGAAAAATGAACTCACAACAACATTTACACAAGAGATGATATGAATGGCTGCCTCTGTTGGACCTCAGCGCTTACCATCTCACCAAAACCCATAGGTAGTGGTCAAGGCGCAACTTTATTCCATTAAAGGGTATAGCGCCAAGCGCCACAAGTCGACTGCGACTCGGCCTTACCCCAAACCTCTACCACTGCAAGATACTGACCCAAACCCAGGCCAACAATCCCCCCCAGCACCTGCCCGCAAGCAGCTTGCCCTCCAAAGGAATCGAACTTGAAAACTCGCTCTCAGCGCTTACCATTTCATCAAAACTCATAAGTAGTTGTGAAGGCACAACTTTATTCCCTTAAAGGGTACAGTGCCAAGCGCCACAAATCGACTGCGACTCGACCTTACCCCGAGCCTCCGCCACGGCAGGATGCTGGCCCAATCCCTGGCCAACAGCCTCTTTAATCACTGGAACTAATAACCATTATCCATTCTTTTCTTTTCTCTCCTACTTAATCTTTCCTTTTTCTCTCCTAATTTTGCCAAAAAGACTACAAGTAAATAAATCAAAATGGACCTCTATGCTATGCAGCACATCGCACACAGACAAAACGAGAATCTTAGAACGCGCACATCAAGCAAAAAACTAACAACTGCTAAACCACACTTCAATTTTCTATGGCCAATACGGTACATACATTTGTGATGTCTCTAACACTATGTTTGGACCATGAGGGGAGGTGAGAAAAGAAACGATTGGGGTTTGTCACTTGGGTGAGAAAAGAAAAGAAAGGATTATGATTTCTCACCATTGTGTTTAGATGAATAAAAGATAATAAAATGGGGTTTCTCTCCTATGTTGTTTAGATAGGGTAAGTAAGAGAAAGGAAAAAAAGGTGTTGTGTTTTATTTTATTTTATTAAAATAACCTTCCATATTAATAAGTTATGTTTTTTCATATGGGTAGTTTTGGTATTTTAAACAAATTTCATTAAATTCAATTCTTTTCTCACAAATCTCACCACTTTTGGTAAGAAACAAAGCACAAGTTTGGTGAGAGTCCATTTCTCACCTTACTCAACCATCCAAATAAGTGAAGTCTCGCCATTTCTTTTCTTTTCTCACTAAACCCCTCCATCAAAGCAGAGTAAATGAATCCCAAAATTTTAGTTAGATATTCCATCTCTTAGTACGAACATACATACATACTAGGGGGAATTTCATTTTAGTGCAACTTTAAAAATAAAAAAAAAATTACATATTCACGACAAACTTTACAAGATTAAAAGAAAATTTTATAAAGTTTTCCATGTATCTGAAATTATTTTTTGAACTTTCCACTTAACTGCTATTTCCCATACATAAAAACGACAATTTTTAACAAAATAAATTGAAAAGAAAGAAGGGGTGTTGAGAACAAATAAGGAAGGATACTGGACCTCGAAGCAAGCTGAGAACATCGTTGTAATCAACGTCGCATTGAGATTGAAGAGCCTTTGATTGTTCCAAATGTTGGGTCAAGTTGTTAACATCCTTCTCATCACTGAGGAACCCAACGAGGTCGTCACTGAACGCAATTACACTCTTCACATCGGTCTTTTTCGACAAATCTCCCATTTTTTTTGTTGGGTTTGAGATGAATCTACTTGTATCCTCCTCTGAAGCAATCTAGGGCTTCAAAAAAAAAAAGAAAAAAAAAGAGTAGATTTACAGTGATGTGAACCTAGAATGATTCGTGTAATTACCTTCTGATGATGTTGGTTGGTATGTGATTCACAGATTTGTTGCTTACTATATGTTTATTATGCCATCCAATTTGTTTGTGCTTTCAAGTTTCGACAAGAGGAGGAAAGTGCTAAGAGCATGTCTAACCCAATCCTCTCACGAAGAGGATGAAAATATTTTTTTTTTATTCAAAAAGTAAATATAAAGTAGGTCACTATTCATTCAAACTCCAACCACAAACCTTCATTTTCTTTAAGATGGGTGTTATCGGAAGTAATTTTTTTTTTTTTAACTTGTTGGGTATTTTTTCTTAAACATTAATCATCATTTTCTTCTCTAAAGATTTATCTCAAAAATATTTTCATCAAAAAGTAAATAATTTTTGTTCATTAACAAATATTTAATTTTGAATTTTTTGTAAAATATATTTAATATTATACTCATTTTAAAGGTATAATTTCACCCTTTTTAATGATACCAATTTTATAAAAATTAAATTTACATATTAAAAATTATTTGTGATATAATAAAAAAATATAGAATGAATAGTGTTATAGAGATCATCCTTCATTTTTCATACTCCCTCTATATTTGAAGGATGGAACATCCATCCTCCCAAATGGAGAAGGATATAGAGGATGGGTTGGAGCTGAAATTTGAGAAAGGATCCTTCAAATTTGAAGATATAGAGCTTGGTTGGAGATGCTCTTAGACCCAATCCTCTCACCAAGAGGATGAAAATAAATTTTTTTATTCAAAAAGTAAATATAGAGTATATCACTATTCATTCAAACTCTAACCACAAACCTTCATTTTCTTCTAGATGGGTGTTACCGGAAGCAATTTTTTTTTTTTAAATTTAAAAAAAAAAAAAAACTTGTAGAAAATTTTTCTTAAACATTAATCATCATTTTCTTCTCTAAAGATTTCTCTCAAAAATATTTTCATCAAAAAGTAAATAATTTTTGTTCATTAACAAATATTTAATTTTGAATTTTTTGTAAAGTATATTTAATATTATACTCATTTTAAAGGTATAATTTCACCCTTTTTAATGATGCCAATTTTATAAAAATTAAATTTACATATTAAAAGTTATTTGTGATATAATAAAAAAATATAGAATGAATAGTGTTATAGAGATCATCCTTCATTTTTCATACTCCCTCTATATTTGAAGGATGAAATATCCATCCTTCCAAATGGAGAAGGATATAGAGGATGGGTTGGAGCTGAAATTTGAGAAAGGATCCTTTAAATTTGAAAATATAGAGCTTGGTTGGAGATGCTCGAATGGAAGAGAGGGAAAGTTCGAATTATATGAAGGGAAAATTAAAACTTTGCCCCTTTGTATTTAGTCATTTTTCACTTTGACCCTTTCTTTTTCTTTTTCTTTTTTTCACTTTAACTAGTATTTATGTTTCAAGGATTTTTTTTAATTTACTTGTTCAGGTTAAAATTAGATTAAAAAAAATATCATGTTAGTTGTCATTTGATTAAAAATAAAAAAATTATATATTGAGATTTAGGTTTGTTTAAAATGTATGAGTTAAAAAATAATAAAATATTTTTATATCAAGTGATTGTCAATATGCTAATTTTTATATAATTTTAGACATAAGTAAATTTTTTGAGTGAATTAAAAACAATTTGACACAAGAAAAGCTAAAGCAAGAAACTTTAAGAGTCCAAATATAAATAAATAAAAAAGGCCAAACATTTACTCTTATATGAATTAGAAGTGATTGATTTAAGGCTTTGTGACGAGGAATAAGGGTTGCAGTAAACGAAAAGGTTGCGTTGGAGGGTAGTGGAAGAGGGTGTGGAGGAGTTGAAGGTTGATGGTGGTTAAGTACAAACAAGGTTTGAGTTGGGGGTTAAATAATGGTAACATTAAAATTAATTGGAGTTGCTAATAAAAAATTAACAAAATGCAAATTTGAAAATAAAATGTTCAAAAGAGATGGAATATCTAAATAAAATATTACAGTGCAGATTAGAAACATTCGCATATGTCATTGGCTTTTTTCTTTTACAACAAAATAAAAATAATATAGAATTGCTTCATTTGATGAAAAAAATTGTGACTATAGAAAGTGAATATATCAGTTTGAATTTCGTTAAAAAAAACTATCAGTTTGAATTAATGATT